CATATTTTAGCATCAATATGGTACATAGCATTGTTCGGAAAATATACTACCTAGCTTGAAATTGGCATTAGGTGCTTTTGGAATAATAAGAAGCAATTTGTAAAAATACTACCTACCTCGGAATAAGCATTAGGTGCTTTGACAGGTAACAACATGGGTGGAGAAATCTATCGTGTGAGTGAAATGTCGGCGAATCGACGATCGATTTGGGATCGAGTTGAATGGGAGAACAAAAAAATTTCATGATAGAGGAAAGAAACATGGATTTTGAGACCTAGCTGGAAATTGAAAATTTTGAGAATCATTTTCTGGATGATTTTAGTCACACTATAATTTAATTATTTCAATAATACATTACTTTTATTTTTTAATACGTATTTAATTTACTTAACCATTTAGTTACCATCAATGTACATGTCAGATTTATTTAACCTGTGTGCTTTCATTAATGTATGAATTTCCTATTATTAATTCTCAATTAATTAACATTCACATTCATTTAATTGATATTCATCTTCATTTATGCATTTCATGTTACTAATTCTAATTATAAGAATTTCACATTCAAGAATGCATTTCATTATTCACGTCCATGTATACTAATTAATATCAAATTTTATTTAATTGAAAATTAAATAAACGATTTAACATGTATTGTCATTTGTCACTGTGTTTCCTGATATTAATTTTAAATTAATTGACATTCACGCATATTCAAATATTTCTTTTACGTCACTTATAAAGCATTTCAACAGCAAAAATATTAATTGTTTTGCCAAATGCCACAATATCTTCCTTAGTTGGGATGAATATCCACACAAATTGATTTTCTGTGGAATGTATTGAGAAAGAATGCGTATTGAGGAAGTAGCCACGCGGATTGATGTCCTCAGTAACGTATCGAGAGAACCATTATAAATGGAAGAATCCATACGAATTGATTTTTAGGAACAAATCTCAAGAGAACAAGTGTTGCATTGTCAAGGAAAGAATTCATATAAATTGAACTTTTGAGTAACACACTAAGAAAAAATGCGTGGTGCACTATCAACGAAAGAAGATACACAAATTGAGTTTTTTAAGGAACGTATCAAGAAAGGATACTAGTTATTGAAAGAGTTCAAATCCTTTACTTTTTTGAAGAATGTATCAAAAAAGACACGTACTGTAT